GGTTTACTGCCAGTAGATGTTCTTGATTATACTAATATCCTTTCCAAATATGTCAAGGTTACCTAGCGAGTCAAAGTGTTCTATTTGTCGTACGCTTTTGTATAGGGATTGATTACTGAAACATTCCGACAGACGGAGGAAAGTCATCGTGTTGTATAGTGATATAGACTTGTCTATATCCGGTTCTATATTAAAATGGGTTCTTCTAGTGGCTGTGTTTATAAGCCGTAGCTTATAACATGGTGTAATGGTGTTTGTCTAAGCGCAGCTTAGATATGGCACAAGTCCGAAAATATAAGTTAACCCGTGAGGATCGCACTGACTACCAAGTTGTAACTGTTCTAGTGAGACAAGCTTGCTAACCATTACACCACACTGAGGTACCCTGGAATATGGTGTAATGATTAAAACTCTTGCCTCCCCAAATCAATTACTACGGAGTAATGAACTCCATCCTTACTAGGGACTCCATACCTTCAGTCATGTGTTGCTTTTTATGACGATTTAATCACTATATATATATATATATATATATATATATATATATATATATATATAGTTGTATATTTAGGCAGCAATCATTCCTTTATGCATGTTTCATTAAAAACGACAGACAAGGTACTACGGTTAAACTTTTTATTTAATTTTTCTTGTGTTCTGACAAGAGTTTTCTTTTTGGGACAAGGGGTGTGTAAAAACTGTCCAAATGTTTTATACTGCCGAGTGCTTTCGGCTATACCTTTAGCCATTATCAAGGATGATTCGATTTTCAGCTTAATTGAGTGTGTGTGTTCTCTGTATGTCTTAGTGTGTGGTAGGTATGTTTTTAATTTCCGAATACGGTTATCACATTGTGGCTGTGTTCGTAGTTAATATTGTTAAGAGTTGGCTTTTTCTTTTTTATTATTAAAGCTTCCATGATTTTTAGTCTTTTTTTGCAGGTCGAAGCAGTTAATATATTTGTATTTTCTACTAGTATGTTCCTAATGGAGTCGGGTAAATCTGTGTGTGTGTTTAAATGAGTTCTAATGAAGCTGTGATCAGATAGGTGTAACGTAAAAACATGCATATATATATATATATATATATATATATATATATATATATATATATATATATATATATGGACCCTTTTGCCGATTTCGATACATGAGGACCCGAAAACTTCATTCAGTTTTTATGTTTGTGTCGTATGTGACACTTCGGCCACGTTATTGACCTGTATACAAGTTCACATATTGTTCAACAGTAAGGATTTCGGGACATATCAACAAGAACATTTTCTGACGTTTATCGCCCTTGTCTTTCGTCTCTTAGCCGCTCAATACGATTGATTTCAAAATTCTTAATACAATTCTGGCACAAATATCTCCAGTTATTTCAGTACAGGTCGATATATATATATATATATATATATATATATATATATATATATATATATATATATATATATATATATATATATATATATATATATATATATATATATAATGTTACATTAGAACACATACCCACTACAAAACTGTATATCTTGTTTCAATGTTAAAAACATCTGTGTTAGCGTTTCATCAGGTGGGGAATCACGATGCGACTGAAATACGGCTCTACTTTTTTGTAGTGAGCCTTGTTTTAAATTAATGTATTGAACGCTGAAATCTTACTCTTTTACATTTGTATGTATGTATGTATGTGTATATGTATATATATATATATATATATATATATATATATAGAGAGAGAGAGAGAGAGAGAGATAGATAGATAGATAGATAGATAGATAGATAGATAGATATGTTGACTTCGACGTGATGTAATGGTTCTGACTTGTGCTTCATCTAAACTTTGCTTAGTAAATCACTATAAGTCGTAGTGCTAATGCATTTTGTTAAATCTGACTTAACTGTTTCCTGAAATGTGAATATACATATATATTTGTCTGGGTGTCTTTTTCGACTAAAATCGTTTCGTTGCAAAATAAAGAAATACAATAGATAGATAGATAGATAGATAGATAGATATAAACAGGATAGATAGATAGATAGATAGATATAGACAGGATGAGATAGATAGATAGATAGATAGATAGATAGATAAATAGATAGATAGATAGATATGAACAGGAGATAGATAGATAGATAGATAGATAGATAGATAGATAGATAGATAGATAGATAGATAGATAGGAACTGGATGAGATAGACAGGATTATATAGATAGATAGATATGAACAGGATGAGATAGACAGGATAAGATATATATATATATATATATATATATATATATATATATATATATATATATATATATATATATATATAGAGAGAGAGAGAGAGAGAGAGATAGATAGATAGATAGATAGATAGATAGATAGATAGATAGATAGATATCAAACTTAGCTGCGTCTCGTACAGGAATCTGGTAATAAAATAGCCAGTGAAAACAGAATTCAACACACATACCAGAGATATATATACTGATAAATTTCTATCTTAACATGCAGTGAAATTAATTCTTGGGAAGAAATCAGTTGTGAGACTGGTGCATATTTTTCAATCGATAAAATAAAATAAGAATAAAAAACATTGACATATCCGGCGATAAATCCTAGATCATATTTAGCCTTTATAGAGCTTTTTATATTCGTCGTAAAGAGAATATATTTTAAATATTTCTATGTTGTGAGTAGATTTTATTTGCAGTTATCGAAATGCCTACTCTGTGAAAAATTCATTTCAATTTCGTTCAGCGTTCCGTTATCATTATATGTTAATTCTGCTAAACGTTATCAGATGAGTTGATTATTTCATTGCTTTTGATAGATAAGTTCGAAGGGATACCACATAGAACAAATGAGTATGTAATATGGCGTTCTTTACTCCAGGCCATGTTACAGTGCAACTAGCGGCCATAACTGGAGGCCCGATTTCAAATTTCGTTGTTCTTTTGAAAGCGAAGATTTTTAGGTTTTGCTTGAATTTTTCATATAAACTTCATATACATCGCTTGTGATAACGTGTGGCCATGACTCACTACACAATCCTTAATTAATCATCAATTAATTTGTTAAGTTATTGTCAATTATTTATCATATGACCGATTTCACTAATTTCTCTTTTCCACTCTATTTCTCACGTTTATTTTTCTCTCTCTATCTTCCATTCGATTAAACACACGCGCACGCACATACACACACAGATATATATATATATATATATATATATATATATATATATAGAGAGAGAGAGAGAGAGAAAGAGAGAGAGAGAGAGATGTAGGAAAAATTAACATCAGTTTTCGAATAGTTCAAAATATTTAGAGTATCAGATAACCCAATGCTAATACAATAAATTGAATATCAACAACGAACAGAACAGCGAATCAAATGAAATCAAAGAAATTAATAACAAAACATACTAAACCAGTTACACTGTAATAAACGATTACAAAAATTTGAAGCCTGAACCATAAAATAAACAAAACATCAGTAAATTTTCCTAAAATTTAGGAAAAACGTACTAAATATATTTTACAATTAAAAGCAAAAAGAGAAAAAAGAAAAGATAAAAAAAACAGACGACATCACAAACACGATATTCAAAGACCACAAGAGAAATAGAACGAAGCCAATAGATACAAATCTATCAATTAAATATCAAAATATTGCTAACGGTGTATGTTATGGTCCGGTTTCTTGTACCACGTTGATAGTCCAAGGTAGAACCAATAAAGAAGAACTCGAACACAGGTATGGAATAACACAGATATATTACAAACAGGAATATATACAGATAAGTAGAAATGTTAGTATGAACAATCAGGTTTAGTAGAGAGAACAATGTAGTCTCGACCTGTATCACTATTCCACCGTCTTGCAGTAATTGTCTGAACGCGACTCTGTTTCTGACTGCCTCTGACTCGACTCTTGACTCGACTTGAACTACTGACACCTTGCCTACTCCTGAGGCGCAGTATCTATTAAGTATGGAATAGTCCATTATTATTATTATGGGTAAGATCCCATAACAGTGTATAAAAGCAGAAAGTTACTTGGAATTTATGTTCATATTCTTCATGGAAAACAGAAAAATGATCCAGACCGTAGAAAAATAAATAAGGAAAAATATAAAAAAATGAAATAAACTTTTGTTTATCCTCCATCAAACTTGCAAAGCACACACAAACATACATACACACACACACGCGCGCACACATATATGCGCTTGTGTGCTTGTATTTGTAAACAAGATATTTCTCCGCAGATAAATTTTTGAATTATTGTCTGTAGTTAATAAAACCTAAGAGCAAGTAGATTTGATAAAGAAGTAAGCGTTTTCTGAAGACCCGCTGAAGATGACCAGCGTTTACTAATCGAAGCATCTTTCTTGAAAATAACAGAGGAACTTTTTGATAAAGTTCAATGCAAAACTCTTGGGAACATGAATTATTTCCGCTCAGATAAATCTTATGCCGTTCATTTATCAAATTAATTAAATTTATGTACTGTGGATTTGGCTCGCATTTTCTCTTGGCTTGATAAACTTTCGTGCAGGGAATTGAATTTTCTAACCCTGGCTGTACAGAGTTAGGAAATTATCCCTCGTATGAGTTCGAACTGCAATAAATTATTTCTTGCTTTGACGGGACAATAATTCATATCGCCAGTCAGCCATGACGGAGGAAGTAACCAAATGAACCTATTGGAGGCACCAAATCTCTGGGCTGGGCTTGTGAATGTTGTTAAGGCGGGAAATTGAGAAAAGTAGAGTAAAAGAAGTGTGAAAAGTTGGGAATATAGAAAAGCAAAGAAAAAGAAGGAAGTACGAAAGAGAGAGAGAGAGAGAGAGAGAGAGAAAGAAAGAAAGAAAGAAAGAAAGAAAGAAAGAAAGAAAGAAAGTGACTGCTAAAGTTAGGAAAAAATAAAATGAGGGTGAAGTATGAAGAGAGGTAAGTGAGGAAAAGAGGAGAAGAAAAGAAAATATTGAAAGCTCTAATGAAATTAATGAAAGAAAAATTTAAGATATCAAACGAGAATGAAAAATGGGAAAAAGTAGAGAAAGGCAGATGAACAGGAGAGAAAAACGAAAAAGACAAGGAAATAATATTAATAATAATAATCTTGTTAATAATAATAATAATAATAATAATAAAAGAAGAAGAAGAAGAAGAAGAAGAAGAAGAAGAAGAAGAAGAAGAAAAAAGTAGAAGAGGAAGAAAATGAAAGGAAGACGAAAGAGTAAAAAGGAGAAAAGAAAAGATGAGGGTGAAAAGAAGAAAAAAGAAAAACATTGAAGTCGATAGGAAGGAAAAAAAAGTTCCATGTATAAGAATGGCAAATGAAAAGAGGAAAGAAAAAAACTAAAAGAAATAAGTAGAATCAAAGAGTGAAAATGACGGGCAATGATTCATAAATGATTAAGAAGAGGGTGGGGGGAAATAAAACAAAAGAAAGAAAATAAGTGTGACAGGGAAGAGAGAAAGAGAGAAAGAGAGAGAGAGAGAGTGCGAGAGAAGGAGAGAAAGACAAACTGAAAGAGAGTGAGAGAGAATTGAGTAGGAAGTTTGCGAATTGATCAGCAATCTTGAAAGCAACAGTAAACGACGTTGTTCACGAATAAAACGTTCAGTGTTTTACTTGTATATTGATTATTGTTCGAATGAAATTAAGAAAAAAAGAAAAGAATGAATAAAAAAAATTAGTGTGTGTGTGTGTGTGCGTGTTGGAGAGAGCAAGAGATAAAAAGAGAGAGCAGGGGGGAGAGAGAGAGAGAGAGAGAGTGAGAGGGGAGAACGATAATAATAAAAAGAAAAAATTCCCAGAAAAAAATTTCCCAACCTAAAAAGATTTCTGGCGTCGCCATAGCCAAGAACTGTGGGGAAACGTAGATTTATAAATCAAATTTATTATAGATTTATACCTCTACATTAAATTGGAAAGGAAACCAAATGAGCACTTGAAACACAATTTAATTCAATTACAGCAAAATAAAACTCGCAATATGAACAAGCACGACCGACGTTGTAAGAACCCAAAAGAAAATAAAAATCGTTGTTGAAAATGTGGTAATAGTAACGTCAGAAAGGCGGTAACAAATAATCACTATGTTGTGTAGTTGTACGGAGTTAAGAAGACTAGGAAAGAAGGCTTAGAAAACTTAACACTCATATGTAATTTTAAGGTAGGTTATATTTATGGGTAAAAGAGTTCAATATCTGAGATAAAGCGTATGTAAATATAAGTGGACATTGAGTTCAACACTGAGTTACGACAGTCTGTTTCATGCTTGAACGCAACCTTGGCCAGAGGTTTGCGTTGAAGAATGAAACAGATTTTTGTCACTTGGTGTTGACCTTTTTTTGCCCGCTTAGGGGTAGAGTCTCTGACTGATGACAAATCGATCGAGTTTCGATCTTGGCTTGAAGCAATCGGATGTCTACTCACACTGATGAGCTGTGATACATAGACACAGGCTTGTATGTGTACTATATATATATATATATATATATATATATATATATATATATATATATATATGAAGAAATATAGTTCTAAGGTGTGCTATATTTATGGGATAAAGTGCTCAATATCACAGATAGAGCGTATGTGAATATAAATATAAAAGTGGACATTGAAGTCAAGCCTCAAAGGCCGCCTGAGGATTGCGTCTAACATGAAACAGCCTGTCGCTTCTGCGTGTTGACTTATATATATATATATATATATATATATATATATATATATATATATATATAACGAAACTGACCCCAATTTTGACATAAAAAGCTACTCTTATCAATGGAGAAAACAAATGACTGCGACGAAAATGTCCAGAGAGTTCCTTAATTGTAAGGTCATCTACGGTAAATTCGCTACCATTAATACTGCTTTTAACAATGTTTTTATTATTGTTATTATTATCATTATCATTATCAATATTAATATTAACAGCATTATCATCGTTACCACAACTATTATCATAATTAAGATTTTCATTACCGCTCCCCTCTTTTTTATATTTTCGTTTCCATCACCATTAAGCTATATTTACCGTTAAAGCATCATTAACTATTATAAACATATTAATAATAATATCACAGTTATCATCACTATCAGCATAATCACAATCGTCAATAACACACAAGCAGTGAGCGTTAAAAATAAAAACATCATCATCACCATGCCCACAAACAGAAACCAAAGACCCAAACCAAGAGCGCGTCTACATGTATGTATGTGCGTGTGAGGAAGAAAACCTCCATACCCACTCTCTTGTTGAAAGGAACACCGCTACACATAAAAAGCCGCGGTCCCGACACCGAAATAGAATTAAAATTGCGTATGTATGTATGTATGTATGCATACTCGAGCGCATGGATGTGTATCTGCGCCTGGTCTTGGGTTGTTTATATGGATGCGTCTGTGTGAACTAAGATGCGTACACCTGTATGTATGTGTGTCTATGTGTATGGGAGTGTCATTCCGAACAAGAACAGAAGGAAATTCCCCCTCCCATCATCAAACATAGTCCAAGAAACATAAATAGATCCAATTTAAAAAAATAAACCAGTTTGATGATCGCAAAAGTGTGAAACCCAAGGTCACAAACTCATATCCATACAACTGAATATCTATCTATCTATCTATCTATCTATCTATCTATCTATCTATCTCTCTCTCTATATATATATATATATATCGGGTGTAACAGCAAATTATTGTTAGATTATGCGTTGAACCGTTGTATCTTAGAAATGATGTAAAATATCTTACTGGAATTCTCCGAGGTTTTTATAACAGTATTGGATGTTACTTTGAACAATAAGAATATATGATTATTCTCCAAGCTTAACAGAAGAATCGTGATGAAATCGATCATAAACGAAAATGACATGTTCATCATTAATTAATCATAGCTAAAGATCGGTAGCTCCTGAAATATTGAAGTAAAGTTCAAAAGTATATATATCATTCTAGGATCATTTCCCAACTTATTCAAGATGATCTTCTTCTTCTCTAACCTTCTAACTTTCAGCTCTGCAGTAACAAGGTGCCTCACAGATTTCACGTATGATTACATTTTCAAGTCTTTTTTCACTGCTCTTTGGACTGTCATAGCTGAAACTCCTCTGTCACATGCCACACGTTTTATGGATTGACTTGGATATTTTCTAATTCATCTCTTTAGCTTTAAGTTGAAATGATGATCCCTCTTGCTGTTGTGACCTGCTGATCCAGTTTTTCCTCTCTACTGTTCCCTCTTTTTCAAACTTATTCACCGTTCTCTTGATGGTTCTTGAATGGACTTTGAAGACGGAAGCCAGAGTATGAATGTTGGTACTTCTTAATTTTTTCTTCAAATATCCCCATGAATTTTCAATGGGATTTAGGTCAGAACTTTGTGCGAGGTACTCCAATACCTTAATTTTGCTGTCATCTAAGTATTTATTTAACAATTAGTGCCGTGTGTTTCGGATCATTGTCATGTTGGAACGTCCAGTGACGCCCCAAAGACAGCTTTTGTGTACTTTGTTTTATATTATTTTTATGAATAGCCAAATACTGCTCTTTATCCAAGATACTCTGTACTCTCACTAGTACTCCTGGTGCAGAAACAGCAAAACATCCTCACAGCAGAATGCTCCGACCACCGTGCTTAATTATAGGGAGTATATTTTTGGTTTGTAAGCTTCATTCACTTTCCTCCATACATAACGGGAATTCACGTGATTAAATAATTTCATAGTTTGATTTCATCTGGCCATGATTTCACCTGACCAATATTTACTCCCATGTTCTAGATAGCTTCTAGGATAAGCTAATCTCTATTTTAGGTGTTTAGCTCGAAAAAAGGTGTGAAAAGCTCGAAGTCCTGCTTGATGAAAATATCTAGTGACTGTTTTCGTCGATACATTCAACCCTGATGTTTGTACATCATTGACAATATCCTTATGCTTAAATGAGGATTCTTTAAGACATCTGTAACAATTTTCCTTTTCATTCTTTCAGAAATTAACCGTTTTCTCAACACAATAGTTCTCGCTGTGCTTCTTGATAATGCTACGAATTGTCGAGCTAGGAAAACTTAAACGTTTGGAAAATGTTGTATATCCTTCTTTGTACGCATCAGCTGTCTTAATTCGGACATACTTGTCAAGTCCAGTCGTCTTCACAACGGCTGCAGAAGGAATGAGTTATCGCGGTACGTGGCACTCATATATTGTATTCTTCATTACCTTTTAGAATGTTACAGAATCAGGTCTACATTGTTTCATTTTCAATGGAAGTTTGTATTAAATTAAAATTATAATTACCATAGAGCAATATTGTTTCATAATTTCCATAATGTGGAAGGGACGAATAATTTTGGACTGCATCAATGTTTATAAAAAATCTAAAATGATGAATAAAATAGATCGAAACTTCTAAAAATTTCACGAATTATTCAAAACTAACTACAGAATCAACTATTTATGGTGAATTCAGTAAGTACTTGCAACTATTCGCATTACCTTAAAAATATGCAAATGTTCAGTGGGAGGGATAATTCTGTCCACAACTATATATATATATATATATATATATATATATATATATATATATATATATATATATATATATATATATATCCCATTTATATACAGATTATCATTCATTTTGTTGAATACAATTCACTGCAATATCCTAAGAGCCACATATGTTATAAAGTTACCCTTTTTAAATATTATTAGCGTTTTTGGGTTGACTCTTTGTCGCTACCACCAGCCTTTGTCCCGGTCGATCTGGTCGTTCCCAGTTCGATACCAGCTTTGTCGTTCTCAGCTCACCTACAACGTATGGTTACCGAAGTAACTACTTTGATCTCAAGGCTATCCTACCCACATTGTGACTTTGATCTTAGATAGACGAAATCAATTATTGTGTGAGAAATTAGGAGTTCTATTATCAAAATATGCGTTGTGCTGTAATGGATATCGGCTCGGAATGAGAAATCTGAGAGTCGAGTTCGAATTCCAGTCGGAATCGTTACATTCACTTGAACACAAATGCCTTCGGATGCGAGTCCGTCTCTTCCCCAGCTATGGATTGAATAGCACAACAAACCGGGTCGTCGTATAGCCTTGGTTGGCTATCAGTCTACCGCAGAAAGAAACGGCAACCTATCTACTGCCCAGTCAGTCACGAATCGAAAAACATGATAACCCTAGCGTGTATCAGTTATGGCACTTAACTGAGTGATTATCAAAATAATTTTTCACCCTTTGTTATTACTGCAGGTCATTGTCACATCATCAGTAAACATGGCGGAATATGTTAAAAGTTTACGCACATTTTTTTTTGAATTCTTGGAATTAGGAATTATTATTTTCATGATGTACATTCGAACTGATGTTGTCACCTTTGTCGTTACAAACAACAAAAATGGATAATCTGACTTTAAATAATGTCAATAAATTTATGTTAATATAAGCATTATTTATGATATAAGAATTATCGAACAAATAATTATAGATATATCATTAAAATTTCTTGTTATATATTGTATTGTGTGTTCTTTCTTATTTTTATAGGATTAATAACTATGAAGAAAAAAAAAGCTTTTATTTTGAAAAATAGTAATAAATAGTCAAAACGAATTTGTTAGTTAAAAGAAATTTAAATGACAAAATAAGTTTAATTTTATTTTCAGAAAAATCTTTTAAAACAATTTATGATCAATCTAAATCCTCTTCAGTAGTTTTTTTTTTCATATTTCAAGAAATGAACAAAAGAACTATGATCATAGCACAATTATTACAAACCGTCTTTAACTTACGGCCATGTGCTTGCAGTTCACCCAAATATTGTGGTTAAAACCAGAAACTATTCGTAATTAATGGCCAGAGCTATTCAGAAAACCACCTGAATAACCCTGAAAATTTGACAAGCTACTTGCTAAATATTAAAAAAAAATCATTTTGTGGTGTGTTCAATCATCTCAAAGTAGTAATTGAACACTTTATTAAGTTCGGAGCTGATAATGGGTTGACTGAATGGTTAGAATTATACTGTTAAATAATTCTAGCTCTGCATGTACTTTTCATAGATTAAATATATCAGTTAATAATAGGTATTATCATTAATACTAAATATAAGTATTATTTATGATATAATAAATATAGATTTATATCAATGGTACAATATAATATATAATGATATAAATAACATTGTATATGATTAAAATAATAATTATTATAGCATTAATTATATATAATTATACAGAGTGTCCCCAAAAGTCATTACACAAATAGAAAAAAATTATTAAACTTACAACGGAAAATGAATACTGTTAAAATTTTTATATAATATGAAGTAAAAAGTGAAGTTTATATACAAATAGTTAATAAATTTCTATCTGGGCCAGATGTGAAGACTTTGGAGACAACTTGCATAACAATAAAACTATATATATATATATATATATATATATATATATATATATATATATATATATATATATATATAAAAAGATATATTATGATAAAATAATGATATTATATAATATGATAAAAATATAGTTTTAACGTATGCTATATTTACGAGTTAAAAAGCTCAGTATCAGGGATAGAGTGAATATAAATATAAAAGTAGACATTGAGGTCAACACTTTGCTACAACAGTCTGTTTCATGCTTAAACACAATCTTGAGGCCATGAAGATTGCGTTTAAGCATGAAACCGACTGTCGCCACTGGGTGTTGACCTTAATTTCCACTTATATATTTAAATATATAAATTATAAATATATCGTTATTTAAGTATATTAATAGTTAATTGATATCATACAATATTTAAGTAACATCATAACATTTAATTGATATAATATAATATTAATATATAAATTAGAAGATTTAATAAATTAAACATGGCGGAATATGTTAAAAGTTTATGCAATTTTTTTTCTGAATTTTTCGAATTAGGAGTTATTATTTTCATGATGTACATTCGAACTGATGTTGTCACCATTGTCGTTACAAACAACAAAGATGGATAGTCTGACTTTAAATAATGCCAATAAGTTTATGTTAATGTAAGTGTTATTTATGATATGAGAAATATATAATGTATAGCAATAAAGCAAGTAATATAATCAATTAAACGTGCATTTTAATAGATTTTTAAATGGATAATGTGTGTTCCATCGATAAATTATTAGACGAGAATCAGATTATTAAACTCAGCATTATTAGTATTTTTTTATTAACACTAGTAATTTATGTTGTTAGTTTTCTAGATAATTTGCTATTGCCAAAGACTAGTTATGATTAGGATACTAGTAATGGTAGTAGTAATGTTATTATAATTTCCTTTTCTAATCAAGGAGTCGATGCTAAATTCATCATAAAACATGATTCAAAGAAGCCCGGCCATTTGCTAATACTCATTGGACTATGACATAAATGAGCGGAAACACTCAGACGACAGGCCGATCCAATGAGAAAGGGAGAGAACGGATGTTTAGACATAGCACATAGAAAGGCGGTGCAAATGGACAAAAAACATCAGAGAATATATATATATATATATATATATATATATATATATATATATATATATATATATATATGCACAAGGATAAAATAAAACGAATTAAATAAGCAAACACACAATAAAATTAAGCCTTATACTATTAATCATACTTCCAATTCGTCAGCTAATTCATTATTTAATTTGCTTGATCAACGAGATGCACGTATCGCGCCAACATGGCGTTGGGTATTTAGAGTCGTCTGCTGGTTATTGACTTCGTTTATATCGATAAGAATAGGATAATGGGTTTGGTTCCCTGTCTTTGTGTGTTCGGGCCTATTGTGGAGGTTTAGCCGGAATTATTATCGATTCTAATTATGTTATGTTTCTATCTAGTGTTTGCTGACGGAAATAGAGACGTATTAAAGGAACCGAATAGAATTTACGAAAGAAAGAAAGAATGAATGAATGAAAAAATAGAGTGAAAGAAAGAGAAATCTAGTGAAAGAGGAAAAGAGAAAGATCAATAGATGTAGTGTCATATTATTGTCATTACAATTTTAGTACTGCTTTTTCTTTTTTTCTTACTTTAACTTAACTGCTATATTTTGTTGGTACACGTATTTTAGTAGACATACCTGTTTTTAAACAGTGTAATTAATGTTAACTAGCCTAGAGTTGGAGAGTCTTAATGAAGAATATATGTTATTACCTGTATTCTCATTTAAATCTTGGAAACTCCTTTAAAGTCAAGTAAAGCACCTGAGCCATGCCATGCTGTAATAGCTTCCTGTAGCTTAATGGTAAATCAAGCTTGACTTTAAAGTGATTTCCCTGTTTCTAAGTTGGATACAGATTCGATTTTTATCGAGAGACACGTTTTCTTCATTAAGACTTTCATTCTCCAGGCCAGTAGACATTAATTTCACTATTTAAAAAAAAAGAAATGCCTATACCTACTAAATATGACGTAAAAAGAAATAATGTCGGATTAAAAAGTTGATTAATTGCTTCTTCTTTTTTAATCATTTCACCTCAAGCAAGGCAATAAAACCACCAAGACGCAAAGGGTTACTGGGTGTTAGAGAATATGAGAAAACTATACTATTAAGGAGGGAGGACAATGAAATAACAAAAATTAAGAAGACGGAAGATAATGATTGACATTGCATTTAAATTTGTGAAGATCAAAGTTAACTGAGGAGCAAGAATCCGGAACTGTTCCACAAGCGAGAAGTGTGAGAGAAGAAACTGTTAGCATAGAACTTACGGTTATATCTAGCCATTTTAATTGTAAAATGATGACACCTTTTCGCGAATTAGTACTGCGCTTAAATTCATAGAGTCTAGGTACCATAGAGGGAAGCTCATCAGAACAATTTCCTTGAAAGTACTTATAGATAAAGGCACAGGGAAACTAAGTCTGAAGTCTAGATGCCAGGTGAGGACCAGTAACATTGCAGATCCTTTGAATTTTATCAAGAATCTCTAAATATATAAAAATAGAACCAAACCGGATATGGCAATAATTTTCAAAGCAAGGATAAATATTATAGAGAGAGACTGTCGAAAAAATGTCCAGCACGACACAGTGAACCAGCTTTCCTAGCTGCAGACTTGGTAGCAATTGATTCAATATAATCTTACCACTTCATGTCAGCTGAAAACGTTAGTCCGCGATGGAGTCACTCTTCTGGAGGTTTGCATCAGCCATACTGATGGAAGATAAAAAGTGTTATTTCAGATGATTAAAATAGATAAGTTCTGTTTTGGAGGCGTTAAAATTAACAAGTCATTCCTTGCTCCATTTAACAACAGACCGTAAGTTTTTTGGGTTTTTTAGATCCGCTGCCAACTTGACCTTATCAAATCTTATCTTATGCTTAAGATATATAATATAAAATAAAGAGATATATATTAATTCTCACATAAAGTATTTTCTCTGGCAGGAGAGCAATTTTCCTGAATCTTCTTGTAGACCCCTCAGTATTCTGGCAAATTTTGCTTTCTGGATCAATTATTTTACTATTCTTTTTGATAAATTAAGATAGGTGATTGTAAATATCATGACCAGAAACAAGAACTTGCTTGTCAATTGTCTATAGTTATCCAGTTGGCATGTCCCCTCGAATGTATCTCAGCTCATGATTGGAAATAGTGAAAAAGCACCATGGCCAGGTATTGAGTTTTTTTCGTTTGTTTGAAGGATAAGATAGCTAAGGCGACTTCGGAGATACTTGGGGAAACATCCAATGAGAACAACCTCCCAAAGTGATACTTCAAGTTTAGGGTTATATATCCTGCATATCCTCATAATCTGATCTTATTTCTTCCTCTTACGCCCATACAACAATCTAATTTAGTAATCCTCTACCTTGAGTAGATCTTGAGCCTTGTATTGGTTTAGCAATTAATAAAAATCCATTATTATTATTGATTTTCATTCATTTCACGTTTACATGAAATATCATATGATTATCACTGGAGATTGAGAAACAAGAAATTTAATAAATTCTTCAGTACCTTCGCAGACAGCATCACAGCTGTGGTTTGAACAAACTCAGTACTTATTCGGAACTCTGATTCACTCATTGTTGATTCTAATGTTTGAGGGATGTATCAAAGTGCAGTAGTTTTTATAACCCCATGTCCCATAGTTTTTTAGTTCCCAGGCGAGATCCTGATACTTATTTTTTTTGATTCACTTTCGTTTTCATTCCGTGGCCTAGTGGTACAGCTGCATCTGAGATCCGACAATTTTTATTATAACTTTTATTATATTATTTATATTGTATTATTATATTATTTATATTACTTTATTATTATATTATAACTTACTGCTGGAATGATTTCTATAAGATGGGGGAAACTTGCTTATTTCATGCGGCATTGAAATTGACCTTTATTTACTTCAGTTATTCTTATTTATTAATAGTATGAATGTTAATGTTAGCTTTTATTACTTATGTGAGCTATTATAATAATTATTATTGCTTTTTGTTTTTGTTTTTTGGCTTACACCCTTTTTTTTCTTGTTATGTTATTAATAAAACAGGTTTCGTTTTTTTTTTAAATTGTGTTTGTTTTATTACAAGAATCTAATTTTGTAGTTTAAATGTTCTTGCTACCGCCTATATATATCGACACCAGACGGCATACTCAACACTAAAACATATATCATAAGGTAGAGTTCGTTAGCGGTGCTTGCCTTTGGCTACGGTAATCGTATCGAGGAATATTGGGGAAGAGTTCCATAAAAATTTGTAAGTGAAATAAAGGACAAAAAAAATAAAAAAAAATGTAATTGGGGAATGAACGTGATTTTGGATTTGGGAAGATATTAAAAAAAATAACGACAATTTTACTGGGCTTAGAATTAATATCTTTTCTTTCATTATTTTCTCTTCTTATTTTTCTCGCTCTTCGTATTTTCACTCTCTCTTCTCTTTCACTCTCACTATGTGTCTACCCTCCCCCCACACTCTCTCTCTCTTTCTCTGTTCCTTTCATATCATTTGTCATTTTGTCACGGCCCATTCTTACAGACATTCGTTTCTAAAAAAATTATATTCAATTTATGCATTCATTAAAACAATCATCCATTGGTCATTTCGTGCGTTTCTTCATTGGAATGGGTTTTGATATCAATCTTTATTCACAAGGTTGCTTCCCAGTAGGAGCTTACGCGATCGGTGATGTGGCTGTTTTGAGGCCGTACAGAAATATATGGTCGTCTTGGACGTTAAAAGACGCATAGATTTGTCGACGTCAGTGTGTGCTGGGATTGTTGGCGGGAAAAGTAAGAGTGGGGGCGGTGATGATGGTTACTGCGGTTAAGTGTCGGAGGGAACGCCGGGAATGTTTTATAGTAGTTGTTGTTATTTAAAGCTGGGACTATTGTTTTCTTCATTCTGCTTATCAATATTTCCCCAAAATTAATGGCGGCAATTCGATTCTCTTTAATCGAATGGAGAAAAAGACTGAGACTCGGATGAACACACGAATGTTCGCATATTTAGAGCGATACGTAATGGCATGCCTAAGGCAAATACGCTGAAGCATATTTATGAACATAAATAATGACATTTCTTTCTATTGCACACACACACACACAACTATATACACATAGACACACACTTACACACACATACATGCATACAAATGTGTTTATATATATATATATATATATATATATATATATATATATATATATATATATATATATATATATATATATATCGCATATTGAGAGCTGGAGTTAATAAAATAGTGCTCGATGCAATGTAACAGAGCTGTAAACTATATATTAACAAGTATACATATTTTTCCTCACTGGTAGCAAGACACGGAGTTTCATGCACAACGCGATCTTCAGGTACTGACTTAAGACTTACCACTACATACGTTAAATTTTGTTAAATATATCTGCTTGTTGCAATGATAAGACAGTTTTATATGTGGGATTGTTTGTTTTTTTTTTTAATTTAATTTTGTATTTAAAATAACCGTAGCTAAAAGAAAAAAAAATGAAATTTATATGTAACAAGAAACAGTGATATATATATATATATATATATATATATATATATATATATATATATATATATATATTTGTCTCTGTGTGTGTCTGTGTGCATTAAAATTCAGTGTCCCCCAAAATATACTCACTTTTGGCTTCCTATAAATTCTTGATTTTTCATTTTCTTTTTCCGATCCATGCTTTTAATTTCATTTAATATTTAATTTAAACCGTTACTCTTTTTGTAACACAATAAACAATAATATTTTTTAATTTGAAACATTAAATTTTTTGCAATTTTTGTTATTTAAAAGCAAATCAGGGGTCCTATATATATATATATATATATATATATATATATATATATATATATATATATATATATTGAAGTCAACACTCATGAAACAGCCTGTCGCCTTTGAGTATTGACTTCAATGTTCACTTTCATATTTATTTTTACATACGCTCTATCCATGA